TGCCCCTCTTCCAGGCCAGCTCTCTGCTGTGGCCAGGGAGTGCAGTGGAGGATGGCCCAGGTGCTTGGGCCCTGCACCCCATGGGAGAAAGGAAAAGCACCTGGCTCCTGGCTCCTGCCATCGGATCAGCGCGGTGCGCCGGCTGCAGCTTGCTGGCCGTGGCGGCCATTGGAGGGTGAACCAACGGCAAAGGAAGACCTTTCTCTCTGTCTCTCTCTCTCACTGTCCACTCTGCCTGTCCAAAAAAAAAAAAAAAAAATTATGAGATGGCACTGATGTAACATAACGAGTTAGGTCACTGCTTGTGATGCCAGCATCCCATATGGGCACTAATTTAAGTCCTGGCTGCTCCATCTCCATTCCAGCTCTTTGCTAATGCCCCTGGGAAAGCAGTGGAAGACCCAATGTGGGGAGATCCAGATGAAGCTCCTAGATTTGGCTTGCCCCAACCACAGCCGTTGCAGCAATTTAGGGTAGTGAACCAGCAGATGAAAGATCTCTCTCTTTCTATGTCTCTGTAACTCTGCGTTTCAAATAAATGAATCTTAAAAAAAAATCATGGGACAAATTCAAATTTTTCAATAAAGGAGTTACATTATGTCAGAAGCATTCTAAATTTCGCGGGACTGTTCCTGCTGTGAACAAGAATCATTTTCCTATACTCATAGAATTACCTTTTTGGTTATTCTGGTTTTCAGTTTCCTATCTTCAAAAGATTATGATAGATATTTAAGATATCTAGTGAGGAGTTACTGAGTGCTTACCATTTGCCCCACACTTCACTAATATTAAGCAACTGGATCCTCTCCATAACTCTGTTAAGGAACTGTGGTTGGCCTTCTGCATCTGTGGATTTATCCAACTATGGATAGAGAATATTTTTGGGGAAAAAAGTATCCAAACTGAACATGTACGGGCTTTTTCTTCCTTAAACAGGACAATTACAACTTAATTAGCTTTTATTTTGTGTTCTATATTATGAGTAGTCTAGGGACAATTAAATAATGTAAGTACTTCAGCAATTTAGGTAAAGGACTTGAGCATCTGTGGATTTTGACATCTGCAAGGGGTCCTTTAAACTGTCCCCCACAGATACCAAGGTACAACTATATTCCTTTTTTTTTTTTTATAAAGATTTATTTATTTTAAAGTCAAGAAAGAGAGAGAGAGACCAACCTTCCATTCACTTGCCAAATGGCTGCAGTAACTAGGGCTAGGTCAGACCGAAGCCAGGAACTAGATGCTTCATCTAGGTTTTCCACACAGAGAGGCCCAGGCACTTAGGGCATCTTCTGCTGCTTTGCCAGGTGCATTAGTAGAGAGCTAGGTCGGAAGTGGAGCAACTGGGACACACACCATCACCCCTGAGGGATGCCAGCATTGCAGGCTGCAGTTTAACCTGCGGGGCCACAATGCTGGTCCCTGTAATCTTAGTATTCCCATTTTATACACGAGGAAGCTGAAACACAGAAAGGTTGAGTATCTTGCTTAAGATTATAGTTGATAAGTGACAAAGCTTTATGAAGTCTTGGGTATATGCCAAAAATGATCTTGAAATAAATCTACTTCCTGTTTTTGTCTTTGTTATCCCATATCATAATCTCTTGCTATTTGGGATCTAAATGAAATGTAGAAGGACAAAACCTTAGTATCTTTAGTTTTCTGTAGTTTTCTTCAAAATGCTGTGTGTTCAGTTTTCTAGCGCTCCATTTTATTGTTCACTATGCCATAAGATTATATAGTTGCATCCAGAAACTTTGAGATACTATTATGTTATATAAGCTGTTTTTGATTGCCAGAAGTTGGATAGACAGATTACGACAGCATTTGACTTAAACTTGGAACCATTGATAAAAGGAAATATAAAGACGGGCTTTGTGGCTTAGTAGCAGGTTAAGTAGCCTCCAGGGAAGCCTGCATCTCATATTGGAGGGCTGATTCAAGTCCCTGGTGCTCTTTCAATCCAGCTCCTTGCTAATGCATTTGAAAAGCAGCAGATGATGACTGTGACTCAAATATTTGAGTCCCTGACACCCACATGGGAGACCAAGATGGAGTTCTTGGCTCCTGGTTTTAGTGTGGCCCAGCCTGGCTGTTAGGGTCATTTAGGTAGTGAACCAGCAGATAGAAGATCTCTCTCTGTCTGTCTCCCACTCCCCCCCCCCCCCACTTCCCTCCTCTTCTCTCAAGGAAGTATATCAATTTTCAGAGTGAATATGGGGCTAGAATTTCTTTGCTTATGTCAAAAAGCTTTCCTCTCCTCTCTTCTACATTAGTCTGTTGCTAGAAGATGAAAGTTAACTTTTATGGTTGGGTTAATTATCACTGAATTACATTATACATTTCTCTACTCTTTTTAAAGATTTATTTATTTATATATTGAAATATATATTCAAGTATTGAATATATAAATATATATATTTATATATTGAAATAAATATATAAATATTTATTTATATCTTGAGAGAGAGAGAAAGGAAGAAAGAAAGACACACAAAGAGATCTTTCATCTGCTGGTTCACTCCCTCAAGTGACTGCAATGGCCAGGGCTGAACCAGGCCAAAGCCAGCAGCCTAGAATGCCATCTGAGCCTCCATGGGTGTGGCAGGGGCCCAGCCATTTGGACCATCTTCCACTGCTTTCCCAGAGGTGCATTATCAGGGAGTTGGATCAGAAAGTGGAGCAGGCAGCACTCAAAGGATGCAGGTGGCAGCTTAACCCTTGTGCTACAGCTCCGGCCCCCAAATTGTGTTCTTTTTTTTTTTTTACTTGACAGGTAGAGTTATAGACAGTAAGAGAGAGAGACAGAGAGAAAGGTCTTCCTTCCGTTGGTTCACTCCCCAAATGGCCGCCACTTCTGGCGCTGCACTGATCCAAAGCCAGGAGCCAGGTGCTTCTTCCTGTTCTCCCATGCGGGTGCAGGGACCCAAGCACTTGGGCCATCCTCCTCTGCCCTCCCGGGCCATAGCAGAGAGCTGGACTGGAAGAGGAGCAACCGGGACTAGAACCTGGTGCCCATAGAGATGCTGGCGCTGCAGGTGGAGGATTAACCAAGTGAGCCATGGCGCTGGCCCCCAAATCGTGTTCTGTATAGAGCTTAGCTTAATTTAGCTTAGCTCCCTCCATCCGTCCTTCCCTCCCTCCCTCCCTTTCTTCCCCCCCCTTCCTTCCTCCCTCCCTCCCTCCCTGCCTGCCTGCCTTTATGCAGAGTTAGAGAGAGAGAGAGAGATCTTTCATCCTCTGGTTCACTCCTCAGATGGCCACAGCGACCAGGGCTGGGCCAGGTGGAAGCCAGGAGCCAGGTGCTTCTTCCAGGTCTCCCATGTGGGTTTAGGAGCCCAAGGACATGGGCCAGCCTCCGATGCTTTCCCAGGCCATTAGCAGGGAGGCTGGATTAAAAGTAGAGCAACTGGGACTCGAACCTGTGACCATATGGAATGCCAGCACTGCAGGTGGCAGCTTAACCTGTCATGCCACAATGCCGGCCCCAATATAACTTTTCTTTACCTTAAGAGATTGCTTTTTTTTAGGTCGGGGGAGATATTAATGTGGATAAGTATTTTTAACTGTTGATTAACAAATAATATTAGGAAGATTGAAAAATTACTAAATTAATTAAGTGGAAATATATCTCCTTTTTTTAATACTGAGTTTTTTGTGTATCAAATATTAACAAAAGGGTGAGTTTGGGACTAGAGAGAGCAGAAGGACATAAAAAAACAAGATCCTGTTGTATGGCTAGTAAGTTACAAAGCCATCAACCTACCCCACCACACCACTGAAATTCATAAAGTTTAAGGAGATAGGTTGAATTGTGTATTTTAGCTAGTGACATCACATATTTCTTTCTTTTTTTTTTTTTTTTTTTATTTATTTGACAGATAGAGTTAGGCAGTGAGAGAGACAGAAAGGTCTTCCTTCCATTTCACCTCCCAAATGGGCACTATGGCTGGAGCTACGCTGATCTGAAGCCAGGAGCTAGGTTCCTTTTCCTGGTCTCCGACGCTGGTGCAGGGGCCCAAACACCTGGGCCATTCTCCACTGCCCTTCTGGGCCACAGCAGAGAGCTGGACTGGAAGAGGAGCAACCAGGACTAGAACCTGGCACCCATATTGGATGCTGGTGCCACAGGCGGAAGATTAACCAAGTGAGCCACCAGCCGCGACATCACATATTTCTTCATTGGATGTATCTTACTCCCTTTGCCAACTTTTGAGATACAGTTGGTTATCTTGACCTCAAATAGTATATTTTTAAAAAGAAGCTTGTCTGTCTTTACCTTGAATGAAAAATGGTTTGAAAAACAGAACCATCATAATCTGCTTGATGCATGTTTTTTGTTTTCCTCTTCTCTTTCTCCCTTTTCAAACACATGACTGTCAGCTGCTTGCAGCAGTGCTCAGTGATAATGAGATGGGAGCAGTATTCCTTTTGTTTCTTTTGTACCATTGATGAGGGATCTGGGAAAGTTTATTGGTTCCTTCTCATTCTCAAATGGGCATCCTCAATTATCTTTATATACAGAAGATCAACTTAGTATATACTAAGTAGAGATTTCAACAAACTGAAAATGAGTCTTGATGAAGAATGGGATGGGAGAGGGAGTGGGAGATGGGATGGTTGTGGGTGGGAGGGAGGTTATGGGGGGAAAAACCACAACAATTCAAAAGTTGTACTTTGTAAATTTATATTTATTAAATAAAAGAAAAAGGGCATCCTTTGAAGATAAGAATTTTGTCTCTACCTGGAATTAACAGTTACATAGGACTTGGAAACACAGGATTGCTGGGAATTTAAGAACTAACTACAGAGCAATATTTTAGTAGAAAACAAAACACATCTTGGTAGGAAGTTCTAGCAGATATGAAAGTCTTATTCTTACATTAATTCTTAACCAGCCTTAATAAACCTTTGTGATCCAAGTTTTGGTATATTACCATCCCTCTATATAATTGTACATTTCATCCTAATTGTTTTGTCTGCATTCTTATACATTTCAGGTTTACGGATCAATGGAGAACTAATCTCTGCCTACCCCCAGGTGGTAGTAGTGAGAGTTCCAACCCCTTGGGTGCAAAGTGATAGTGACATTACTGTCTTGCGCCATCTAGAGAAGATGGGATGCCGACTGATGAACCGACCTCAAGCCATCCTAAACTGTGTTAATAAATTCTGGACTTTTCAAGAGTTGGCTGGCCATGGTGTTCCATTGCCAGATACTTTCTCTTATGGTGAGCTCACTAATTACAATGTATAGACTAAGTGTTAAAATCACTGACTGTTTTGAGAGCCATACTAAGCTAATAGTATACATTTCTAGATATGAAAAAGCTTCTCACAGAAGTAGTTTTTTTAGAGTTAACAAACTGGACAGAAGAAGTATGAACCCTATCTGAAGATTAGTTTCATGATATGGGATGGAATGGGTTTAGAAGACTTTCTCAATAAAGGATCAAATAGTAAATATTTTCAACTTTACAAGCCATCAATTCTCTATAGTAACCTTCAGTGAAGCTGATGTAAGCTGCTGTAGATATTTATCTGATCACACATGAATAGCAAACAAGTCACAAATAGGTGCAAGTTATAGGACCATGCTTTGAGTAGCACTACTGTAAACAATATTATACTTAATATGCTTCCTGCCCTTCTGTTTCTAGTTTGGAATCCATCAGACTTACTGTAAGTCAGTACAGAGTTTTCCATAAGAGCATTTCTCTAAATAAATGTCCAGTAGAACGCTTGGATATTTAATGTGGCTTTAAAAAGAAAAGAAATTCCTGTCCTCTTCTCATTGTTTATATTTTACAGGTCTCCCCCCTCACCTCCTCAAGCCTATATGGCTTGTGAGCTTTTAGTTGCTGTTTTTAAGCAGTAATAAATGGAATACTTGACAATTCTTTGTCCCCAGTGCTTTTGCGATTTTATGGCTTATATCATGGTTCTGTAGTTTGGATTTTATGAGAATGGAAAAGAGGGGAAAAAAAAGATAGCCAAATTAGCAGATATTACCTTTGTAATAATGTTGATGGTTTAAAATTTGATAACTGAGTTCTCTTAATTTAGGTTTCAAATTTCTCATATTGTAAATGTTTAAAGAAGTTCTACTTGAGTTAATTTTTCTGTCATGCTTTTTTTTTTTTTTTAAAGATTTATTTTATTTATTTGAGAGAGTTACAGAGAGAGAGGGGTCTTCCATCTGCTGGTTCACTCACCCAGTGGCCATAACGGTTAGGGCTGAGCCAATCCAAAGCTAGGATCCAGGTGCTTCTTCTGGGTCTCCCACATGGGTGCAGAGGCCCAAGGATTGGGCCATCCTCTACTGTTTTCCCAGGCCCATTAGTAGAGAGCTGGATCAGAAGTGAAGCAGCCAGGACTTGAACTGGCACCCATATGGAATGCAGGCTCTGCAGGCTGGGGCTTTAACCCACTGCACCATAGCATTGGCTCCTGTCATGCTGATTTTTATAGCTACAAACCATTTTTGCTCTAATCTTGCTATTGTGTTATTTGTTCTGGGGTCATAAAGACAGTAAGAAACAAGACTTAACCAATGGATGCTGAATACCTCAGTATAGAAAGAACTCTGATTAAAAATGGAGGTAAGAAAAATTAGTATGTGTGTTTGATAATAAAGAGGCATACATGCATATATAGCATCTCTTCAAACTTGGATACATCTTAAGCGACTGATTCTTCAATATCTTAATCCAGTCAGGGAATTGAATATATTAAAAGAGATGTTAAAGCATCTGAAGTGTTTGAAATTATACTTTCAGCTCATTATTTTCTTCAAGAAAAACAAAATTAGCCATTAGGCTCTTAACTTTCCATGTCCCTTTCTCTGTCTTTAGTGTAAATTAAATTGATCACAAAATGCCTCTGCTGCTATTGTTAAATTTCTTTTTTGCTCAAACCAGGCGGTCATGAAAATTTTGCTAAAATGATTGATGAAGCAGAAGTACTGGAGTTCCCAATGGTAGTGAAGAATACACGGGGTCATAGAGGTGTGTATGAGTTGTTGCTGTGATATATAACTTTGAAATTACTCTTGCAAAGCAGTAAGAGTGATTTTGAAACAGGGCTTTTGATGAATAATTATTGGGAAACAATAGGTGCATGATATCTAAAGATAATAGAAGACTACTGTGAGGTGTTCAGTTAGGCTAGAAACTCTTTTTGCTCAGTGATTATTCCAGAGAATTAGCGTGCATACTTAAGCGAAATCTTAAATGTCTTCATTGTTCTCTCTCTCTCTTTTAAGATTTTTTATTTATTTGAGTTATAGAGAGAGTAGAAGATATATAGAAAAAGAGATCTTCCATCTACCGATTCATTCCCCAAATTGCCGAATGGCCAGGGCTGGGCCAGGTAGGAGCCAGGAGCTTCTTCTGGGTCTCCCACGTGGGTGCAGAGGCCCATCTTCGGCTGTTTTCCCAGGCACATCAGTAGGGAGCTGGATCGGAAAGTGGAGCAGCCAGAACTTGAACTGTGCCCATACAGGATGTTGGCATTACAGGCAGTGGCTTTGCCCAATACACCACAATGCCAGCCCCAATGTTTTCTTCTACAGTACAATGACCTTAGATCATTAACTTCAGTCACACCCCTTAATTTATGTAGAAGACTTAAATGTTGCAAGAGTGGTAGAAACAGATTATTAATCTTGTTAGTATATTTTTATATTATTTCACTAATATTTTTAAAAAGATTTATTTGTTTGAAAGGCAGAGACACTGAGAGAGATCTTTAATCTTCTGGCTCACTCCCCAAATGCCTGCAATAGCCAAGACTGGGCCAGCCTGAAACCAGGAGCTTGGGACTCCATCCAGGTCTTCCACCTGGGTAGCAGGACCTCAGGCACTTAGTCCGTCGTCATCTGTTTCCTCCCAGGCACCTTAGCAGGAAACTGATTGGAAGCAAAAGTAGAGAACTCAATCTGAGGCACTTTGACAGTGTCTGAATAGCAGCCCAAACCTGCAACACCTTATTGATACCCCTACCACATTACTTTTTATAACTAAATTACTTTTGTCAAGGAAAACTTAAAAAGGAAGCATAAATGTAATTGATTCTATAATAGCAGATTGGGACACAAGAAGGGGCAGGCAAGTAGGGATTAACTGCCCACGGTTTGCTTACTTACATATATGTATTAAGATTTATTTATTTATTTGAAAGGCAGAATTACAGAGAGGCAGAGGCAGAGAGAGGTCTTCCATCCACTGGTTCACTCCCCAGATGGCTGCAATGGCCAAAGCTGTGCCAATCTGAAGCCAGGAGCTAGGAGCTTCTTCTGGGTCTCCCTGGGGGTGCAGGGGCCCAAGGACTTGGGCCATCTTCTGCTTTCCCAGGCCATAGCACAGAGCTGGATCGAAAGTGGAGCAGCCGGGACTGGAACCGGTGCCCATATGGGAATGTCACACTGCAGGCAGTGGCTTTACCTGATATGCCACAGTGCTGGCCCCACATACTATATTTTTAATACATATTATTAAACTGTGTTTTATACATTGTATGTACTTTAATTCTTTTTCAATCACAGGCAAAGCTGTATTCTTGGCTCGAGATAAGCATCATTTGGCTGATTTAAGCCATCTTATTCGCCATGAAGCTCCATACCTGTTCCAGAAGTATGTAAAAGAATCTCATGGACGAGATGTACGTGTCATTGTCGTGGGAGGCCGGGTAGTTGGCACCATGTTACGTTGTTCAACAGATGGGAGAATGCAAAGCAACTGCTCGCTAGGTAAGAACAATTCTAGTGTCTTTACATTGGTACTACACCTTGTCTACTGAGTATTTCTATATAACTATAGGTCTTTTTACTCAACAAATTGAAAAACATCTTCCACCTATAAATATGATCTATAAATTATTACCAGTGCAATAAGTATTTTTGTGTGTGTTGGTTTTCTGATTTGATTAGATTTTACTGAATCAAAAATTTTCTTTCACCTGGGCTCAATTTTGTAATTCTGTTCACACATGTAAGAGTTGTCTGATCCAAATTACAGATTCCCTCCTCCTTCCTTGATGACATATTTACATGGTTGAATTCATTTACTGCTGGTTTTGATTTTCTGAAGTATGTATTTTCTGAGATCACTTGTTGTTGAAGTTAATTAAAGCTTACTCTTTGGATTTTTCCTTCTTTATTTATTTATTTATTTTGAAAGGCAGAGTTACAGAGAGAAGGAGAGAAAGAGAGATCTTCCATTCACTTGTTCACTCCCCAGATGGCTGTAACGGCCAGGGCTGGGCCAGTTCAAGGCTAGGAATCAGTGACTTATTCCAGGTCTCACACATGTGTGGTAGGGTTCCAAGGACTTGGGCCATCTTCTCTGCTTTCCCAGGCGCAATAACAGGGAGCTGGATTGACACCTGGGACTCAAACAAGCATCCATATGGGATAACAGCACTGCAGGTGGTGGCTTAACGCACTAACCTGCCTCTTTTCTGTTTATATCCCTCAATCTAACTTCTCTATCCTGAAGTTTTCTCCTTATTTAATAATGGCTGCACTATCCTTCCAGTTTAGAGCAAAATCAAGAGTTACCCTGATCTCTCTCTTCCCTTAAACCTTATATCCAGACGATCAAGAACTCCTTGAAATCTCTACTCTAAAAATGTAGCCAAATCTAACATTTTCTCATCATCTTCACAACTGATACTGTCTTCTCTTAATTTGATTACCCATGTTAGCCTGTGTTCATTCCTGCAATCTGGAAATAGTGCTTGGAAAATTCCAGAAATAGTAATTCATAAATTTTAAATTGTTCTTCTTTCTGAGTAGTGTGTTAATATCACGCTATTCTATGTAGTTTTCCGGGCCCAGGATATGAATTGTTTCTTTGTCTATCCTATCTGTACTGTATACACTACCCACCTCTGAAGTCTTTGTTATCAGATTGACTGTAGTATCACTGTGCTTGTTTTCAAATAACTTATTTTACTAAAGGTGTCTCAAGTAGTATGTGACAGTTTTATTATAGTGTATTCTTGCAGTTATTCTATTTTATTATTAGTTGTTCATCTCTTACTGTGACTAATTTATTAAGCTTTGGTATTTGTACTAAAGGGAAAAACAGTATACTGAAGTTTCAGTATTATCTAGTTTCAGGTATTTTTGAGGGTGTTAAAACATAATCCCCTGCAGAATGGGGAAACTACGTAGTGCAAGTCAAGTGAAGGCAGGCCTTGCTTGAAATTCCTCAGTAGCTCCGTATTTCATTCAGAGAAGAACCCAAATTCTTAGAATGGTCATAAGCCTCAACCTGATTTGTTTCCAAGTTAGTGTCCCTGAGATCTACAGCCAAATAGATGAATCTAAAGAACATAATGTTGATTAAAAATGTAATTCAAAAAAATGAACATGTGGCTGCTTGTGTTTCTAAAGAAGAGATCATGGTTGGGTATGTGGCACAGCAGTTAAGATGCCACTTGGGATGCTGGTGTTCCATATTGGAGAGGGAGGCTTCAGTCTTTACTCCTTGGCTTCCAATCCAGCTTCTTGCTAATGTGTGTTCTGGGGGTCAGCATGTGATGCTCCCACCCACATGGGAGACCTGGATTGAATTTTTAGTTATAACCTTGGCCTGGCCCAGCTCTGGCTGTCACAGGCATTTGAGAACTGAACCAGCAGATAAAATATTTCTATTTTTCTCTTTGCCTTCCAATGAAATGAATTTAGATTTTAAAAATCAAAGAAGGGATTAGAGCAAGTAGAACAGCAGCAGTCACTAAATATAAAGCAAATGTTCCTAAAGTTTTGAGAGTTTTGAGGGAACTGAAAGTATAGGAAAAACACATCATGTCTTTCTGGGCAAAATTCAATGAAATGTTCATGTACCTAGTCCAGAAAACCAAATTAAAATAAAACAAAAAGTAAATAAAAAAAAGAACCAAAGAGTGTGCAATCATAAACCAACAAAAAAACCTACTTTTTTATAAAAATATTTAGTTATTTATTTGAAAGTCAGAATTGCACAGAGAGAGAAAGAGAGGCAGAGAGAGAGAGAGGTCTTCCATCTACTGGTTCACTCCCCAACTTGCCAAAATGGCCGGAGCTACGCTGATCCGAAGCCAGGAGCCAGAAGCTTCCTCTGGGTCTCCCACATGGGTTCAGGGGCCCAAGGACTTGGGCCATCTTCCACAGCTTTCCCAGGCCATAGCAGAGAGCTGGATCGGAAGTAGAGCAGCCGTCAGGACTTGAACTGGCGCCTATATGGGGTGTTGGCATTGCAGGTAGTGGCCCCACCTGCTACGCCATAGCGCCAGCCCCAAGACCTGCATTTTAAAGTGAAACACGAAATAAGTTGGCCTCTGAACTCTCTGCAGTTTCACTTAGCTAGAAAAATATTTATCACAGATTTGCTTATGATAGGAGTAAAGGCAAACAATCTAGATATCCAACAATAAATTATTTAAAAATTGTGGTACATTCATAAACTAGGAGCTATGCTATAGTTAAAATTATATAGTTGGGGTAGGCATTATGATATAGTGGGTTCAGCCATCTTTTGAGATGCCCACATTTTATATCAGAATACCTGGTCCTGGTTCAAGTTCCAGCTATTCCATTTCCAATCCAGCTTCCTGCTAATATTGCTCCTGAAAGGCAGCAGGTGATGGCTCAAGTACTTGGGCTCCTGCTACCCATGTGGGAGAACAAGGTGGAGTTCTAGGCTCCTGGTTTTAGCCTATCCCAGCCCCAGCTTTGCAGGCATCTGGGGAGTGAACCAGAAGATGGAAAATCTCTCTCTTTCCCTCCCTTCCTCTCCCTGTTTCTCTTTCTGTGTTTCATTGTGCCTTTTAAATAAACAAGCAAATCTTTTTTTTAATTGCAAGTCACAGAGAATATATGCATAATGATTCCATATTTTAACTATATGCAAAATAAATAATGCATTGTTGTGAATACACATGAATAAACTATAAAGAAAAGGCAATTGATAAATACAAAATTCAGTATAGTTGCTTATTGTTGAGAAATTGGAATAGTTTTTCCACTGTAGATTTAAAAGATACTCATTATATAAATCACAATTTCTACTCTTGAAAAATTACTTGCTTCCTAGAATTCATTTTTCATGCCCTGTCTTATATTTTCCCATCATAATACATCATGTTTATTAGCTGGAAGAGAGCTGAATGGTGTCTTCTTTCAAGGTCACCTTTTCCTTCTTATTACCATAAGATTTAATTCATGGTTTCTCTTTATACTTTAGACACAAGGACCAAAAGAGGTAATTAGTTTTTTGTGTTATAAAGGTTTATTATTTATTTGAGAAGCAGACTTACAGAGAGGTCTTTCGTGTGCTGATTCACCCCCAAATGGCCCCATGGTTGGAGCTGGATTGATCTGAAGCCAGGAGCCAGGGTTTCCCACGTGGTGCAGGTTCCCAAGTACTTGGACCATCTTCTACTGCTTTCCCAGGTGCATTAGCAGGGAGTTGGATCAGAAGTGGAGCAGCTAGGACTGGAACCAGTACCCATTTGAGACAAACTCTAATCAAAGTATATAAGGCTATGAAGTATAGCCTTGTCCTGTCTCTCTTTGTCTAGTCCCTTTAGTTTTCATAGTTTCTTTATCAATTTATTTAGACTGTTTCTTCTTCTTTTTTTTTATATATATAAAAAAAAGATTTATTTATCTGAAAGGCAGAGTTACAGAGAGGCAGAGATAGAGACAGAGAGAGGGCTTCCATCTACTGGTTTACTCCTCAGATAGCTGCAACTGCTGGAGCTGGGCTGATCCAAAGCCAGGAGCCTGGAGCTTCTTCCAGGTCTCCTATACAGCTGTGGGGGCCCAAGGACTTGGGCCATCTGCTGCTGCTTTCCCAGGCCATAGCAGAAAGCTGGATCAGAAGTGGAGCAGCCAGGACTCAAACAGGTGCTATGGGGTGCTGGTGTTGTAGGTGGCGGCTTTACCTGCTGCACCACGGCACCAGCCCCCTAGACTATGTTTCTTAAAACACTATACACATGTTCTTCAAAAAGTTTGTAGAACATAGAATTAAGAGATTATTTGGTGTAAAAAAATTTTGAAATACATACATTTTTTTCATAAGACACATTTTCTATAGTTTTTGACCTCTTGTATAAGTGGATTTGAAAAATTTTTGTATGAAAACAAAATTTTTACTCCCATTTTCATGAATATTTTAAGGTATCCTTGGGTAAATTTTGTTTTTTATTCCAATCTGACAAATATCTATCTTCTTTAAAAAAAAAAAGATTATTTGAAAGTCAGTTACACAGAGAGAGAAGTAGGCAGAGGGAGAGAGAGGTCTTCCAACCACTGGTTCACTCCCCAATTGATCGCAATGGCCATAGCTGCGTTGATCCAAAGTAAGGAGCCAGAGCTTCTTCCAGGTCTCTCACACAGGTGCAGGGGCCCAAGTCCATCTTCTACTGCTTTCCCAGGCCATAGCAGAGAGCTGGATCGGAAGTGGAGCAGCCAGGTCTTGAACAGGTTCCCACATGGGATGCCAGCACTGCAGGCGGCGGCTTTACCTGCTACGCCACAGTGCCAGCCTTCAAATACCTATCTTTTAATGGAAAAATTCAGTCCATTTTTATTGTAATTACTAATATGCTTCATCTTACTCTTTCAGTCTTGTGCTTGTTATTTTTTAAGTGCTTATTTTTCATGTATTTTCTTCTACTTGAAAGGCAGAATGAGAGACAGAGAGAGCGAGGTTTCAATCACTGGTTCACTCCCCTGCAGCAGGCAGGGCCAGGCCAGGCCAAAGCCAAGAGCCCAACTCCATTTGAGGCTCCCATATGGACTACATGTCCCAAGTCATCATCTTCCCAGGATTCATTCACGGGAAACTGGATTGGAAGCAGAAGAGCTGAGACTTGAAGTGACACTCCAACACAGGATGCGGGTATTGTGAACTGCAGCTTAACTTACTACATCACAATACCTGCCCCTGTGTTTGTTATTTAGCTTAAATTATTTCTTCTCTCTCCTGATTTTTAGTGATTTATAATATACCATTAATTCCATTTTCAGTTCTGCCCCTCTTTCCCTCAACCTCATTAAAGTGGAAGATTAACTTGATTTTGCATTCCATCAGTAATTATTTTTTCTTTCTCAAGGTGTATAATTCGACATAGTCTATTTTGTTATTTGAGAAGATAACAATTTTCCCTGATAATCTTTACTACTTCTCTGTGTCATCATAACAATATGAAGTCTTTGGAAATATCTTCCCTTCCCCTCGGTGATCTCTCATTCCCTCCCCTTCAGTGAGGAAATTGGACAGCTTTACTTCCTTCTCTGCTCCTTTCTCTTGATTCAGTTATTCGTTGAACAAATAATTTCGAGCACCTCCCTTTGCCCGGTAGCTGTTACAGCAGTATTTTATGTATAGCACAAGATTTCCTGTTTTAATGGGTGTTACATTCCGTTGTTTTGCTATAATTATTTAACAGTTTAGTTCCTGTCTAGACTGGAATTTCTCTTCTTGTTCAAGATGTCTTTTATAGCACTTACTTTATATCCATTCCCAGTCTTCATCCACTTAAAATTAATTATTCCTATGTTGCAAATTTCATTACTTACTACTCTTTAGTCTCCATCTTCATCTTTCCATATCTTAAGATCTATTTTTAGTTATAATACAAGTAGTGTATTATGTCATTATTAGTATCTTTTCTTTTATGATTTTTCCTTAAATTTTTTCGTCTGTGCTTTGATTTTATGAATTAACTCTTAAAAGAGCTTGTATTCTCTCTTTTTCTCTAGTTTTATGTTTTCTGAAAGGCAGATAGATAGAGACAGATCTTCCATCTACTGGTTTACTCTCCAAATTTTCTTAACAGCTGGGACTGGGCCTGGCGTAAGCTAGGAGACTGGGACTCAATTTAAGTCTCCCATGTGGGTGGCAGGGATCCAGCTACTTGAGGCATCATCTGTTACCTCCTAGAATGTGCATTAGCAGGAAGCTGGAATTGGAAGCAGAGCCAGGGCTCTAACCTAGGCACTCCAATACGAAATACAGGCATTCCCAAACAGCATCTTAACTGTTGGCCAAATGCCTATCATCCTGTAATGAATTTATTTTAGTTTGGGATTTTTTTTTTTTTTTTTAGCTTCAGTAAGTCTTTGTGCTGAACTTGAGTCTCCTTAATGTGCTTTTGTTTTCTTCGTTCAAGTCATAAATGGATTGTTATTTTTGTTGTTGTTGTCTTAACAGGGTTTGAGTAGCTCTGATTATGTGGAAAATTTCCTAAGGCCTCAGTCCTATAGATGCAGGACAACAAAGTCATCTAATTCATGAGCCAGTATTCCAATACCCTTTCTATTTCCTGAATAGCTCTATTCTCTGTCTCAACTGTGGGGGTAGGTGTCAGTTTACGTGTAGAGCTACTTTTTGGCCTCTTTGGATTCAGAGATAGCAATATTATCAGCTTTATTCCTGTGGGTACGCAGAACTCTGACTTTGACCCAAGTTCTTTTCATTGTTCTTTGCTCTTCAATCTTTAGTTTCCAAGGGAGAATCTAGTTCTTTTACTCTCTTTCTGTCAGCTACCAGCCAAGCCCATGACTTCACCTACACCCAGCTAGATACCTTATGACTTGGAAGCCTTTAGCTTAGGAATGGCAGATAGTTTGGAGTGAAGGCTATTCAGGAAGAGAGCCACACTCAGGTTACCATGTTCTTTTCCTCTGTTCTGTGCATCTCTATTGTTTTCACGTATCAAAAGTTAGTAACATAACACTTTTATTTATATAAAATAACGTGGTCTAATTGTGCTTACGTAAAAGTTCCTTGTACATTTGACCCTCTTCATCTTCAGGTTCTGCATCCACAGATCCAACCAGGATTGAAAATCCAACCAGATTGAAAATATTTGGTGGGGGGATTCTAGACAGTTCCAAAAAGCAAACCTTGAATTTACCATATACCAAGCACTATATTGAGTCCATGTGAATGAAATGATGCATAGGTACACCCTGCTATAGCCTTGTGCCCCCTCACAGATGCTCAGTCTCTCTCCAACACTCATTGTTTGAGCATTGTTCCCCTCATGTCTCTTTTGTATACTATGCAATTTGGCAAACAGTGGTTGTGTTTGTAAGTGAACATGTACAGACTTTTTTTTCTTACCATTATTCCCTAAATATTGCAGTAACAACTATTTACATTATATTAGGCATTATGAATCATCTAGGGATGATGTAAAATATACAGGAATATTACATAGGTTGTGTGCAAATACTGTGCCATTTCATAGTAAGGGTTGAGCACTCACCGACTTTTGTTTGTTGTGGGGTCCTGGAAATTCAGCCCCCTGAATATGAGGGACTACTGTGCTTAGTCCATATTATTTCAAGTACAGTGGACTTGAGGGAAAGGTTAATGTATTCAGAAAAAAATAACTTTGAAAAATTACTAAATCATCAAATTTTGAAAGGCTGGGTAGGTAAAGGATTTCTAGTGAAGAGAACTTCAAAGACTTCAACGTCCTAATTTCACTCTAAACTAGTACCTTTCCCTTTATTACTGATTTAGAAAAAAGGGTTAGCCTTAGAGGTCAACATTAATTTTTCTTCAAGAGTTTATCATTGTAAGTAACTTTTAATCTTGTTTATCTTTTGCCAGGTGGTGTGGGGATGATGTGCTCATTGAGTGAACAAGGGAAGCAGCTAGCCATCCAAGTGTCTAACATCCTGGGGATGGATGTGTGTGGCATTGACCTGTTGATGAAGGATGACGGCTCCTTCTGTGTCTGCGAGGCCAATGCAAATGTAGGTTTCATCGCCTTTGATAAGGCTTGTAATCTAGATGTAGCTGGTATCATAGCGGACTATGCCGCCTCCCTTCTGCCCTCTGGCCGGCTCACCCGGCGTATGTCCCTGCTCTCCGTGGTGTCCACGGCCAGTGAGACTAGTGAGCCGGAGCTGGGTCCCCCAGCCAGCACTGCTGTCGACAACATGAGCGCAAGTTCCAGCTCTGTCGACAGTGACCCTGAAAGCACCGAGCGAGAGCTGCTCACCAAGCTCCCAGGGGGCCTGTTCAACATGAACCAGCTGCTAGCCAATGAAATCAAACTCCTGGTGGAGTGACTCCACCGGTAAATAATTAACCAACAATACTCTTGTAAAACTTAATTTTCTTCCTTTTTTTTTTTTCCTTTTCTATTTTAACCAACTTGCAATGCTGTTCATGGAGGATGTTCAAGAAGATAATAGAAAATTAGAGTTAGTTGGAGTGAAGAAGGGTAGATGGAGGAGACCTCTGCTAGTGAGATGTTACTGACTTGGATTTACAAATCCCACAGGATAGGTGGGATATAGAAAAATGTCAGGCTCATAGTTACCCTTTTAAATTACTAACATTTGTATGCTCTCAGGCCATGAGGAACATATAAATTTTGGTCATGGTCCCTTTTGTTTTTGAGCAAAAATTGTTTCGATACCAATATCTGAATAGCATAATTTCACGTTGTGTTGCAAGATTTGTAATGAATAGGAAAATAACTACTAAATCACACAACTTTTATTTATATACAAATCTGAAAATTCAGCCATTTCCCTATTAAGTAGCAGCATTCATTTATAGTTATTTATGAAATACAAGGGGCTCTTTTATTGGGATTTCTTATTTTTGTCTTTTGTCTTTTGTTTATTCCCTTAATTGGAGCGGGAGGGCGAAGTGAATATAACTCAATAAAGGCTCTTTAATGACACAGTTGGCATGTTGCATGATGGAAGGGAAGTGAACAGTATTGCAATGTCTGGTATATAAAATGACATTTACTCAATGTAGATAAAGTTACACTAGTTTAAAATGTGTGCATTGACTTGTATTTGTTAGTGTTTTAGTCTTTTTTGAAAGATATATGCTCTGTTAATGTTGCATTTTTAAAATTCATGCTAGTCTAACATTCCCTACTCTATGCCTGCATCTTTAACAATGGCCAAAGTGAAGAAAATGCTATCTTTTTTGTTAACAAGACACTGACTTGAAACATGTACATTTAGAGCCTTTTATTTTTTCCTTTTTTCTTTTGGTGGTTGGACATTCTGAGGATAAGCAAAAATATTTTGGGGGGGACAAATTAAGGGCCTATAAGTTCTTAAGTATAAAGCTGAAGTGATTTCTAATGCCACCGTTACTTATTTGCATTTTTCACATTTTATGAGGGAGTATATCTGTATGTTTTTGCACGCATGCATGTGTATGTGTTTTGCTTTTTGTTTACACCAACCTATCAAAAGGGATAGATTCTAGAAAATGGAGCATGATGGGAAACAGTTTTTGACTCTAAAAAACAGATGAGTTGTTTTCATAACTTAGATTTATTAGAATAGAGCTAGGATTCACCTAAAGACATAAGGAAAGTAGATGCTTCTTAGGCTTTTTTGTGTATATGTATGTTTGTTTTTTTTCCCCCACTTTGTTTCTAAACTGTTCAGTGTGTGATTTATTCAAGGCTACATGCTTTTCTTCAATGCTTCTGGCTATGCATTTTCTCTTCTTACATATAGAATTTGGGGTGGGGTTGGCTGTATGTTTTCGTCTGGGGACTTAGCAGTATTGAGTCTCATATAGCCCTACTCTTAAGCCTTCAATACTGTACACTCTTTATATTTCTTAATTTATAAAAGCCCTCAAACTGCATAGAATGAGCCTTTAAAACATGGATAAAACTATCCCAATGATGAGTTTGGAAGGTGTGTTAAGAAACGGAGATGCTGCAGAGCTCAACATAATTATTTAAACAGCAAATTCCATCTCCCTACAAATCCTCTGAAGCTTTTACCCAAGCCCTTTCTTGCCTCTTCAGTGCTATTTTCCTTCAGATGGACCTTAAACATAATTTCTTGGACACTACTAGAGAGACGTCGAGGCAATAATAAAAGATCAGTATTAACCAGCTCTAACAGAGGTTTGATCATGCTTACTTGTACAGTTTTCCCCCCATTTCAAAAAGCAATGTAATAAAATTTGTTTTTTCCATAGAATTAAATAATATTAAAATTGAGTGAAAGGTTGATTGTTGACAAATAGAATAGTACCTCTAATCTGTGCACTGTCTCATTTCACCTCAGAAGAAAGATAACCTAAGAGTTCTTAATTTAGAATATTCTAATCCATCTAAAAGAATTTGACTTTCACAGAGCTACTGGGAGACTCACCTAAGTACCTCTGACTCATTAGCAGAAAGAAATCCTTGGTACTTCTTTTGCTGAATGGCCACACTTTGGAGGATGCATACTGTTTGGTATAGAGAAATAAACAAGGAAGAAAAAACTGCTTAATTAAATCATCATTCATATGTTTGTGTAGAGACCGTCTGGTTGCCACATATATTATGATACACATACTTTGAATAGTTGGATATCACATGTATATAGATTCAGAATGAATTTTAAAACAAATAGAAAAACCTCTTGGTGAAAAATTCAAGGTTTGTGTTGGGGGGTAAAGGGACCAGGAAAAATGTAGTTAGCCTTTTAAAAACTTTTTACCAGATTGACCGACTATATTATATGAAATAATCTGAAATAATTTTACCTATAGTTTTATTTACCTTCCATCTTTAGTGCATTTACACTATGTTAAAACATATCTTTACCAACCTGTTTCTGGATTGTACACTCATGTTAGAATGAAAAGGGCAAGAATGATCATCCTATACTTTTAAAAATATGGATATGTTCTTGAATTCCCTCAGAGATTAAGGTAAAGAATAAGAACAAGTCATTCTGGAAGAACCCAAAGAAACAGCAGCAAATATTTAAGTGAAAGCTAAATTTATTTTCATAATTGTTTAATAACTTTTGTATACTCTTCATTGCTGTTATGAGAGGTAAAAATGTATTTATCAACTATGTGTAATCATCATTGCCAAAATCTGAATTATTGTAAAATATTTATATATTGTTAAAATTGTAATTCTAAGTTGTGTTTTTAAATTAATACTTTCTAATACTGTTTTTATGTCGCCCATGTTGAAAACTGGACTTTTAGTATATACCTAAGTATGGACTATTCCATTTTAAATTTTTAATAGTTTTTTCTCTTTTTTTGGTGCCTATAATTAATTGATTGGTCATTTCTGCTGGCTTTTCTCCAATGAACTTTAGTTTTTCTGTTTATGCTATCAATAAGAAAACTACCCTGGAACATTAGCAAAATCCAACAAGAGACTTGCTTTCATCAAGCACTTTGTCAGACTTTGAGAAGGTATCCAAGGCATTGAAAAAAGTCATTGACTTTCAAAATCATCTCTTCTTTTTCTCAAGAAGAAAACAGTGGGAAAACAGATTCTCTTCATTCAGTGAATCCCCAGTTTTGGGTTTGGGGGCTTAGAGACATTGTGAAATCAAATCTTGTGTTATATTTTTCTCCTGGCTCGCTTTTTTTGAGAAGGTTTATGGGCTATTTGGCTGGTGAGACACGATCCCCTCCTAAGAAAATGTAGGTGCTCAGACAGGTAACCTCTGCTGCTACTGTTTTTATGTTTGTTTGTTTAATTTCATTTAAAATTTGTTTTTGTTGTACTAGGATTTTTTTAAAAAATGTAATATATTGCAGGATTCATAACCAGGTTCACTGCTTGCTTGCTTTCTTTTTTTTTTTTTCCTTAAAACAAAACAAAGATTCATTTAAAATACATTTAGGCACTTTTGAAACTTGGATTTTGGAATGTTTCAGTAGTGGACAGAAATCTGCTGTTGGAATCTTCTAGTCTTCCAGGTTTAATTTGAAATGTTTTTAGTTTTGTTTTGGAGTTTTGTGTGGTATTTTATTTCCTTTACACCAATGTCTTTTTGCCATGCTGTTTGGGGTGGCTACCTAACTCTAGTGAAAATTCTTTCTACATTAATGAACATTTGGCCTTTAAAAAATTCCTTAATGTTTTACATTTTTAAAATTGTTTTTAAAGAAATATTCTAACTGCTTGCACTGTTACTGTTCTTTGCCAGCCTTTTCAGGAGCCAAAAAACCAAATACAAACAAACAAAAAAATACCCAGAGAAAAAACTTTCCTTCTTCCCCCTTCCTGATGATGAGTGAGAAGTATTGAGAACTTTCGGGGTCAGTGCCCTTCTAAACTCCCCTTCCCCCAATAATGCAGCTGTATAATGAATGGTAAATGCAGCGGTTTGGATTCAGGCACAACCCCAGCCTGCTTGAAGGTAATTTGACTCTCCTTTCTTTCCATCACAAGGCTGATTTCACTTTCCTTTAAAAAATTGTCCTTTATGTACTCGAAAGGCAATCATGGGCTTGTCATTACTCACTTTAAAAAGGAACACATAGTATATCTAGGAAATACTTCCAGAGGAGAGTTTGGGGGGTGGCAAAGTTTGAATTGGTTGGGATGAATGCAGGACTTTCTTTGGGGATTTTGTTTAGCCATTTAGGTAATTTCATTTCTTGCATATATGTCTATAATTAAGTATTTCAGAGTGTGACCTTTGGCTTTGTTTTTGTTTTGGGTTTGTTTGTTTCTTCCATTGTGCTACTCTGGCTTAAGCTTTTTCAGGGGTTGGTGTTCCGAATACACAGTGAGCTCACAGTATAAAGACATCAATTAGGAGTTGACAGGTATGGAAATCTAGAGTTTAAACAGGTAAAATTAGGTGTTCTAGGTTATATATATATATGGTAAAAACTTGTCATAGCCTTCAGTTGATGTTAGTGCTTTTCTTTCTGTGACATCATTATAAAAGTGAAAAGGAATGATGACACATAGGTAACAGCATTTTAGTTGTTTAGGAGCAATATGATTTCAGAACTAATCATTTAGCATTTCTGAGACATTAGTTTTAACAAAGAAATGTGAGCAGTTTGAGATTATCGTAAAACTATGGTTTATGATATAGACTTGGGTGGATGCAGGAACTTTCTTAAGCACAGAGTAGTAGTGGTTAAGCAGATTGATTGAAGTTATAAACAAAGCTAGTGGCAGGAATATGAAAACAACCTGTCTGTTTTAATAGCATTATTAGCTAATAAACTATCCCCTCTGTACGTCCCAGTCCACTCACCCTTTCCTCCCTTCCCCTATTCTTCCTAAAGTTTTAGCTCAGTAGTGAGGTGTGTTTTTTTTTTTTTAAATTTGGAGAGAGAATCCTCTTTCTGATAAATTCAGTTTTAATGAAAGCAGCCAGAACCTTTCCAAGATTTGCTTCTGTAGAATTTTATGTTATGCCAAAGAAAATGTAAATCCAATAAATTACTAGTTAGTGAATAGGAAATCCTGACTTGTATGCTATTTTTACAGTTTCTACAGTCCAAGGAAGGCATGTAATTCAACAGCCTGTGTGTCCTATGAGATAGGACCAGTCATTTCCTTTAGCATCTTAAGATAAAAGTATTTATCTGTTGAACTGAAATTTATTAAAAAGGAATTTTAGCTGCACTCCTGTAGGAATTTGCATATACCAAAAAAGGTTCATTCAGAACCTTGTCTTCTTGCTGATAAGAATGGCTGTCATTAGAGTATAAGGAGTTTGATCACATAGGGCATGGAGAGTTAACAACTTCCGTTCTACTGCCCTCATTGAATACAGCTGGCTTGTTAAGAGCAATCTTGCTTTTAGAGTCTACAATATTTATTAGGTGAGCCTTATTTAGTATATATACCTGGCTGCTGTTGTGGGGTTTCGGAACATGAGGGGTGGGGTGAACTGTTGTTGTTTTAGGTTTCAGTCAGACAGACATCCCTGTGCCCCAGTTCCCAGAAGCACATCAGGCCTCTAGGAGCATCCGTGGGAACGGCGCAGTCCTGACATCACCAACTCTCCTGCTCAGGCTCATCCCATATACAGAGGTCAAAGGATGGGGTTTGAGATTGGGGGAAGGAATGAGAAAGTAGAAACAACGTCATGGCAGTGCCAGTGTTGACCAGTTTTTGGTGCTTATGTCGATGTTTGTTTTATTTCCTGATTTTTTTTTCAAGTTGGCAAAAACTGCATATTTTTACTTTGGAGTGAAGGTATTGGGAGGGTGGAATAAAAACAAGCCATTACTAGTTTATGACTGGGTACTGTTCCTAAATAGCTAATAGAAAATAGAATTGAAATGTAGACCCCAGTGACAAACGGAATGGAAATAGAAATGAACTGGAGGATTTTAGCAAACAGAAAACACTTAGTGCTATATTAATTCCCAGTTCTACAACTGCTATTACATTTCATTCTGTCTCCCTTTCCCTCCCTGTATCCCATATATATGTATATATATATACATCTTTGAGGAAATGGACATTTATGGTCGATCCTTTTCAAAAGACTTAAGGAATTTAATACACTTTTGTAAAAAATATAATACCCAATGCTTATATGGGCATACAAATGCTACCCTATTTTAAATGTAGGTGGCGTATGTGTTCGTGTTTTAATGTATTCAGAGCCATTGGGCAATAAGCAGTCGAGAACATTGAAAACTCAAGCAGGTAAAGCACCTAATACCCTTAGTTTCTAGAATTACCTTAGAAAACTCTTTGTTGCACCTTCCACAATTCTTTGAGTAGTCTCTGAAGTTAAAATTTGTAGGAGTTATAGACTACCTAGTTAGAGTTTTAGGTTGTATATGTATTCATAGATTATAAGGAAAGGTGAAGAAAGAACAGAAAATGGCTCCTTGAGATGGCAGCTTCTAAATGTCTAAATCTTCCTACTTTTCTTTTTAATTTTCCAGCTTGGCATGAACATTATCATATATTGTTTGATTTTCTGTGAGTGGGATTTTTGTGTCTGATTTTTGTCAGGGAAGTTTGGGGGAAATATGAAAGAATTTGGTGTACATGCAAAAATATGAAATGTTAAGTGATTTTTTTCTGTTTAATCTGAATTGTAAGCAAGAACTTTTTCTATATACCCTTCTGCTGCAGCAGAGAAATAAACGGGTAGGTGGCAGCAGAGGAAAGAATTCTTCATAATGATGGCTGTGGACAAAATCTGCATGGGAGAAGAGAGAGCTTGACATACCAGTTGAAGCAAGGGGGGCAGGAAATGGAAACAAGACTAA